CGTCTGCAATATTTCCTTAGTGTGATGAAGTTGCCTGTCAAGCAGGTGGAAATTTGAACCAACAGTTGAAACCTGTGTCATCCCCGTTGTCATTCGGCGAGATAAGAGCCCGAGAGTTAAATCATCACTAACAGCCGCCGCTATTGTGAGCCGCGGTACATTCTCTAAATGTCAGCACACAGGAAGATTCTAAACAAATATTGGATTTACTGAAAGACTGGGGGGACTCTTTTCTGGAATTTTCAATTTCATACACGGATTGGGATTAGCGGCAAACATCCTAATAGGATTCTTCCAGCCTTTGTAAATGAAGCATCTCATTCTAGGGAGAGCCTTCAGTGCTGGCAAAATCTGTAACACATTTAATTGCGGCAATGGCTGTTAAGCTGATCTGTTCAAGTGATGGCAGTCTCTAGACTTGTTGATCAAGTGGCAAGAAAAAAAAAAAGAGTGCTGTTGGCATGCTGTACTTGCAAGGCTTTTTAAAGTCAATTGTGGGCATTATAATAAATTATACTAATCAGGGATCAGCAAAGCATTTAGTTCCCCTTTGGCCTGCAGGAAATATAACTGCGATCAGATTGTGCTGTTTTTGGCTGTAATGTGCTGTCCTAAAAAAAAAAAATCACAATTAGAAACCATAATGGTTTTGGGTCAGTTTTATTTAAGTTTACAAAACTTAAAGTTCTGTTTTTTTTAAATATAATTTTTTTTTTTTCTATTTTGGTTAACTTTTTGTTTTTGGCCTTGAGAACATGGGCACTTGGGACCATACACTTCAAAATTCAGGCCTCTTTCCCTGCTTGGGAGCCACAGGTGCGGTGTAGAACCATCCATAGAAATCTGTGGCTGTATGTGGGCATATGCCAGTCCATGTGCGTGATTACCCAAGTACCAGTGTGTACCCACATACAGCCTTTCTCTTTTCTTTCTTTCCTTCTTTTCTCTCTCTCTTTATCTCTCTCGCTTTCACTTTTTCTCTCCCGATCGCACTCTCGTTCTCTCGCGCTCTCTCTCTGTTTTTCTCTCCCGCTCTCCCTGTTTCGCTCTCTCTCTCTGTGTTTCTCTGTTTTTTCTCTCTCTCTCTCGCTCTTTTCTTTCTTTCTCTGTTTTGCTCACTCTCTCTCTCTCTCTCTCTCTCGCTCCGTTTCGCTTTCGCTCTCTCGCTCCGTTTCGCTTTCGCTCTCTCGCTCCGTTTCGCTTTCGCTCTCTCGCTCCGTTTCGCTTTCGCTCTCTCGCTCCGTTTCGCTTTCGCTCTCTCGCTCCGTTTCGCTTTCGCTCTCTCGCTCCGTTTCGCTTTCGCTCTCTCGCTCCGTTTCGCTTTCGCTCTCTCGCTCCGTTTCGCTTTCGCTCTCTCGCTCCGTTTCGCTTTCGCTCTCTCGCTCCGTTTCGCTCTCTTGCTCTGTTTCTGTTTTTCTCTTTCTCTGTTTTTCTTGCGCGCACTCGCTCTCTCTCTGTTTTCTGTTTTTCTCTCTCTTTCTGTCTCTCTCTCGCGCGCTCTCTTTCTGTTTTTCTCTTTCTGTCTCTCTCTCGCGTGCTCTTTCTGTTTTTCTCTCTTTCTGTCTCTCTCTCGCGCGCTCTCTCTGTTTTTTCTCTCGCGCTCGCTCTCTCTGTTTTTCTCTCGCGCGCTCTCTCTGTTTTTTCTCTCGCGCGCTCTCTCTGTTTTTTCTCTCTCGCGCGCTCTCTCTTTTTTCTCTCTCGCGCGCTCTCTCTGTTTTTCTCTCTCTCGCGCGCTCTCTCTGTTTTTCTCTCTCGCGCGCTCTCTCTGTTTTTCTCGCTCGCGCGCGCTCTCTCTGTTTTTCTCGCTCGCGCGCTCTCTCTGTTTTTCTCGCTCGCGCGCTCTCTCTGTTTTTTCTCGCTCGCGCGCGCTCTCTCTGGTTTTTCTCGCTCGCTCTCTCTGGTTTTCTCTCTGTGTTTTTTTTTTTCTATTTCTCAGGAGGAATTGCAGACCAGAGTAGATTTTTAGTGTATTGCTATATAACAGATGGATAACAGATAGATGTTTGCTATATAACAGGACAAATCTTCATTTTTCGAATTCATGTCCACTTTAATGTATTCCTAAAACCATTCACTATATCCGTTCTCCCACAGTACACAGAACATGGAAATGCAATTTTATTTGTAAATATAAACTGCTAAATACCTTTCCTCAGCAGTTATAGCAGTCTTGTGACGTCTAACAGTGTCCAGCCAAGCACATGTTAAAGCTTGTAGGAGGATTTTTCATTCTTTGGAAGGATGCAGAACCCCTGACCTCTGGACAGTGCTGATTGGACTTGTGCAGATCACATGTACCCTTCACACAATCTGTCTTATCAGGAGATAAGAGGGGGACACTGAAAGAAGGGGAGGATCAGAGAAGTCAGGATCAAACAGCATTTTTACATAATGCATAGGATTAACCCCTTAGGGTCCACAGTGAGACAGTGAATATAACAAGCATGCTTTACTACACTGACTGATTTAACTTTTGTGGGTTTAGTAACAGTTTAAGCCAAAAGTATACTCCTTACACATCCTGTGATAAAGTATCCGGTTTCAGTTGCTATAGGTTACTGCACTTTGCACATTGGTCTTTGCCTTAATGTTTTAACTTTCATGAGTTTTTGTTTTTCTAGGCTGCAGCCCCGTCTGTTCTCTTTTATAGCCTCCCATTAATGTTCACATTCATTATTGGGGACTTTCTTCTTATCTGATCTAACGGCTCTGTTTGCTTGGAGGAGCCGGTGCGCTGGAGGTTCAATAAAACTGGAAAACATAACGGCTCTTGTGATACTTAAACAATATTGGGGGGGGGGGGGGGTGCGTGCCTCCTAATGTCGAACAAATCTGAATTTCTATACTTCATGCATGTATTATTCTTTTTCAATATGGGGACGTATTTCTTCTCCTGCACAAGGGCAACAGAAAATTGTTTTTGCCAATGATTTAAACCTCTTTCAAGCGCCAGTAATGAATTGTCTGTTGGAGGCTGGCCCGCGGTCTTATTTACCCTCAGAAATTTTACAGCAGTTGTAACTCAGGTGGCGCATTCTGTCGGGCCCTTGTTATCTCGTTCGTCTTAATGCTTTGAATAAACCAGCATTAAAAAAAAAAAACCTAAACTGATGTTTCAACTATAAACTTTGATTCTGCTTTTGAACAAGTATGCAAACCAACTGTGGAGGTTCTACACTAGTGCCAGCATGACTTCCTTTGTAGTACTGGAGAGCCCATTTCTTAAAGTTCAATGCTTGCTAACATGACCTGCAGCAATTGGGACATTTATTCAGCGCTTCGCTTTGTTTTGGAGGTATGAGATATCCCAGGATGCACTGGGAAACTAACAAGCAAACCGGAAAGATGTCATCAGCAGTCATTTGTTTTCGTGTATGTATTCTGGATGTGGTGCAAATGTCACATCCGGTGTGCAGTGCACAGAATGAGACCTATATAGCAGAAGTGAGTGGGGACCAGAGAGAGAGGAGGATCAGCAAGCCGGAGGATCAGCAGAGATAGCAGTTACTACTGAGCGGGGGGATCAGCAGAGATAGCAGTTACTACCGAGCGGGGGATCAGCACAGATAGCAGTTACTACCGAGCGGGAGATCAGCACAGATAGCAGTTAATACCGAGCGGGGGATCAGCACAGATAGCAGTTAATACCGAGCGGGGGATCAGCACAGATAGCAGTTACTACCGAGCGGGGGATCAGCAGAGATAGCAGTTAATACCGAGCGGGGGATCAGCAGAGATGGAAGTTACTACCGAGCGGGGGGGGACCAGCAGAGATGGAAGTTACTACCGAGCGGGGGATCAGCAGAGATGGAAGTTACTACCAAGCGGGGGATCAGCAGAGATGGAAGTTACTACCGAGCGGGGGATCAGCAGAGATGGAAGTTACTACCGAGCGGGGGATCAGCAGAGATGGAAGTTACTACTGAGCGGGGGATCAGCAGAGATGGAAGTTACTACTGAGCGGGGGATCAGCAGAGATGGAAGTTACTACTGAGCGGGGGATCAGCAGAGATGGAAGTTACTACTGAGCGGGGGATCAGCAGAGATGGAAGTTACTACTGAGCGGGGGATCAGCAGAGATGGAAGTTACTACTGAGCGGGGGGGGGATCAGCAGAGCTGGCAGTACTACTGAGCGGGGGATTATTATTATACAGTATTTATAAAGCGCCAATAGTTCGCTCAGCGCTGTAGATTACAAAGGGGGACAGAACATGTGACAGAACAATACCAATACAATGCAAAACATGAGGGGATCGAGGGCCCTGCTCTTTCGAGCTTACAATCTAGGGGGATCAGCAGAGCTGGCAGTACCACTGAGCAAGAGGATCAGCACAGATGAAGGTTACTACTGAATGGGGGATCTGTTGAGCGAGGGTACTATTGAGCTGGAGATCTGCTGAGCAGGGGTACTACTGAGCCCCTTTAAAACTAAATAGAAAATCAACACACAGGGCATTTACCAAGATTCAAAAAAGCATCTCAGAAGAATCAAATCACATGTCCCTCCCTGGTTTCCGTTTCGGGAGTATAGACTTGTGATACCTCACTGCAGTGTCACCGCCTACCTGTCTCTTTTTGCTGCGACTCATGATGTCTTCACTCCACTGCAGTCTTCTGGATCCTGGAAGGGCTCTGCCACTGCACAGCAAAATAGTTTTGGGGGGCGGGGGTTGTTTTGTTTTTCTGCAGCAAATAGCCTTTGCTGGGGTAGCTTACAGTTGATATACTTGCATGCATTTCTTAGGCGCTTGAGATGTGGCAGACAAGAGTAGTATGCCTTCCAGTGTCCTCATTTTGCTTTCATATCCCATGCAGATCATGAGCACGTAGTGATAATGTGTCAGTAGAGAATGAAGATCCTTTAGCTGTGCATTTTCTCAAAGAAGGCTTCACAGTGTTAATCCTGCATTTCCCTCTACACAATGAAAATATTTTGATTACTGTATAGTAAAAAAAAAATAAATATTCTCGTAACTATATTTTGTATTCTTTTCTGTAGGGCTGAGAATAAGAGAGACCAAGGAAGTGTATGAAGGGGAAGTGACAGAGTTAACCCCTTGTGAGACTGAGAATCCAATGGGAGGTTACGGCAAGACCATCAGCCATGTGATTATAGGCCTGAAAACTGCCAAGGGAACCAAACAGCTGAAGGTGTGTTTTTACTGGGATACACATTCAGAATTTAGCATGCAAAATGTTTATGCAGGAAAGAGATTGAGATCAGCAAAGTGCAGGAACTTTGCAACTGAATTAATCAATAACATTTTCATCAGTGGCCAAGTGGTTAGCCCTTCCGCCTAGCAGCACTAGGGCTGTTGGTTCGAATCCCAACCATGACACTACCTGCCTGGAGTTTGCATGTTCTCCCTTTGCCTGCGTGGGTTTCCTCTGGGTACTTCAGTTTCCTCCCACGCTCCACAGACATGCTGGTAGGTTAATTGGCTCCTGTCTAATGCTGGGTACACACCATCAGTTTTTTTTATTTTGTTCAACCTAGTAGCTGAACGAAAAAAAATAACCTGAAGAGCTCCGGAGGAGCTTGCTGTACTAACAATCTGTTAGTACAGCGATCTCCCCGCTGAGCTATTGTGTTCTGACAGGGGGACTGCTTCCCTGCCAGAACACACCAGTCAGCACTGGCAGCCAGTGACTGCCAGCACTTATCGGATGCTGATTTTCCAGCATGCCTGTTCGACAGAAGCCGGCTGTTCAGCCAGCTTCTGGCAGCCATGTGGGTGTACACACAGGCCGAATGTTGGCCGGTTTCTATTGAACCGGACGATATTCGGCCCGTGTATATGGGGTGTAAAGCGGAGTTCCACTCACCCTGTCAAAAAAATAAGTCAGCAGCTACAAAAACTGTATCTGCTGACATTTAAAAAAACAGCCACTTACCTGTCCCTCGGTCCGTCCCCCGCAGCCCATTTCACCGGCCGTCCTGTATTCCAGGAGGCCGGCATCTTCAATGAGGGAACCCAGCTGTGACAGCTTGTGGCTTCGCAGCCAGGTGCTCACTGCGCATGCGCGAGCAACGCTGCGCTTCATGAATGGTTCTGTAGTCTTCTGGGACCTGTCACGTGTCCCAAAAGAGGGAGGACACCTTCCGATCGCCTAGGTCAGGGTTAGGCAACCTGTGGCTCTCTAGCTGTTGTGAAATAACATTTCCCATGAGACATTGCAAAGTTGACAGTTATAGCTATGACTTGCAGTGGCATGATGGAACTTGTAGTCCTGCAACAGCTGGAGAGCTGCAGGTTGCCTACCCCTGGCCTACGTGATCGGAACGGAAGTGGGAGCGGATACCTATTAGATGCGGGTAGCTGAAGTAGCAGTGCGATTCCTGTCCAAATCGCATGCGGTTCCCCTGCAGGTGTGGTGCGATTTGAGCCCATTAATTTTGTATGGGCTCAAATTGAACCGCAAAAGGTACTGGTAATTGGTATCGGCGGTACTCGTACTCGCTGATTTGAAAAAGAAAACCGTATCGGTGCAACCCTATTAAAAACTGCTAGAGTGTTTGTTTTTGAAAGAACAGACATTCAAAATCTATTTTGCCAAAAAGCTGCTACTTCTTGCTTTGTGTACACCGTATGGAGCATGCACCATGTAATATACAATCTGGCTCCTTCCTAGCATTTTACAGAGCTACGTTCTGAAGACTTATGTAACTCCTGTGTACTGGAGTTGCTTTTAAAGGCCACCCACTGGGGAAAGAGGACAACAGGGTTGGCGGGGCCAAAAATGGCACCAGCCAAGACGATAACGGGTGGGGGGGTTTGTTAACGGAACTGCGCACTGGATGGATAAAGGCACACCATTAAAGAATAAGTGGATGAGATCTTATCATTTGCAGGTATGTACTGTACACTTGCATTTAAGTGTCCATGCACACTGGCTTAATAAAAATGCCAGTGCTCTTCACAGAAAAAAAAAATTAAGTGTTCTTTTTGTACTAGTGTTTAGGAGCATTTAGTGTTTTTTTCCTGCCAAAAACTGAACTTTTTTTTATTTCTGCCTCTAAACGCTGAACTTAAACGCCTCTCTACTACCTAATGTGCATTGACACATAGGATAATATTAGTTGCTTCTACAGACAAAACGCTAAGCTCCTCTGGGAGCAGCGTTTATTTAAGCCGGTGTGCACAGAGCCTAAAATTTGGATGTGCTACAACAGAATTCATAAATGCACTTTTTTTATTTATTTTTTTTCCGCCCCCCAGTTGGACCCAAGCATCTATGAAAGTCTACAGAAGGAGCGAGTGGAAGTTGGGGATGTCATCTACATTGAGGCAAACAGCGGAGCAGTGAAGGTACATTTAATAATTTTTCAAATCTTATGCAGTGTAAAAAAAAAAAAAAAAAAATTTGACCAGATTACAAATGTGTTTTTGAGATTTCCACTATTCACCCATTTAGTGCAATCAGTTATTTTTAATTGTTTTCCAGCAATAGTGATGCTTCAATAATAAATACCATTTTTTTTGCTCCATAAGACGCACCTGACCATAAGATGTGCCTAGGTTTTAGAGGAGAAAAAACAAGAAAAAAATATTCTGAACCAATGGACTGCAGACACAGTACAGGAGATGACCAGAGACTGCGGACATAGTACAGGAGATGACCAGAGACTGCGGACATAGTACAGGAGATGACCAGAGACTGCAGACATAGTACAGGAGATGACCAGAGACTGCAGACATAGTACAGGAAGTGACTAGAGACTGCGGACATAGTACAGGAGATGACCAGAGACTGCGGACACAGTACAGGAAGTGACCAGAGACTGCGGACATAGTACAGGAGATGACCAGAGACTGCGGACACAGTACAGGAGATGGGCAGAGACTGCGGACACAGTACAGGAGATGACCAGAGACTGCGGACACAGTACAGGAGATGACCAGAGACTGCGGACACAGTACAGGAGATGACCAGGGACTGCGGACACAGTACAGGAGATGACCAGGGACTGCGGACACAGTACAGGAGATGACCAGGGACTGCGGACACAGTACAGGAGATGACCAGAGACTGCGGACACAGTACAGGAGATGACCAGAGACTGCGGACACAGTACAGGAGATGGACCAGAGACTGCGGACACAGTACAGGAGATGGACCAGAGACTGCGGACACAGTACAGGAGATGGACCAGAGACTGCGGACACAGTACAGGAGATGGACCAGAGACTGCGGACACAGTACAGGAGATGGACCAGAGACTGCGGACACAGTACAGGAGATGACCAGGGACTGCGGACACAGTACAGGAGATGACCAGGGACTGCGGACACAGTACAGGAGATGACCAGGGACTGCGGACACAGTACAGGAGATGGACCAGAGACTGCGGACACAGTACAGGAGATGGACCAGAGACTGCGGACACAGTACAGGAGATGGACCAGAGACTGCGGACACAGTACAGGAGATGGACCAGAGACTGCGGACACAGTACAGGAGATGGACCAGAGACTGCGGACACAGTACAGGAGATGGACCAGAGACTGCGGACACAGTACAGGAGATGGACCAGAGACTGCGGACACAGTACAGGAGATGGACCAGAGACTGCGGACACAGTACAGGAGATGGACCAGAGACTGCGGACACAGTACAGGAGATGGACCAGAGACTGCGGACACAGTACAGGAGATGGACCAGAGACTGCGGACACAGTACAGGAGATGGACCAGAGACTGCGGACACAGTACAGGAGATGGACCAGAGACTGCGGACACAGTACAGGAGATGGACCAGGGACTGCGGACACAGTACAGGAGATGGACCAGGGACTGCGGACACAGTACAGGAGATGGACCAGGGACTGCGGACACAGTACAGGAGATGACCAGGGACTGCGGACACAGTACAGGAGATGACCAGAGACTGCGGACACAGTACAGGAGATGACCAGAGACTGCGGACACAGTACAGGAGATGGACCAGAGACTGCGGACACAGTACAGGAGATGGACCAGAGACTGCGGACACAGTACAGGAGATGGACCAGAGACTGCGGACACAGTACAGGAGATGGACCAGAGACTGCGGACACAGTACAGGAGAAGGACCAGAGACTGGACCTTTAGGGAGGGAGGGGGAAGCGGGTACCTGAATTTGACACTTCCACGGAATTCTCCTTCCTATACTGTGGGCACCCGACTTTGACAGCCGGGTGCCCACTGTGCATGCGCGAGAAGTGCTGCGCTTTGTGAATGGCCCGGCATCTTTTGGGACCTGTCATGTCCCAGAAGACACCGGACCATTCACAAAGCGCAGTGCTTCTCGCGCATGCGCAGTCGGCGCGGGAAGACTACAGCCCTGGACCGAGGAACGGGTTAGTTCCTGTCACAGAGAACAGCTGAGCGGCCGGCCCGGTATGACCTGGAAGGAGGAGAATTATTCCAGTCCACTATTATATTTTATATGAAAAAGTCTTGCGGTTGCAACACTGTATCTATCTGTATCCGAAATGGATACATTGTTGCAACTGCAAGACTTTCATGTAAAATATAATAGTGGAGCCCTCTGCAAGGGACAGAAGTAATTATGGGGTTAAATGCCGGCCGTAGACGGGACGAAAATTGCCCGAATATTTTTTTCTTTTTTTAACTGTTGGTGGTATTGTCGGCGGATCGAACAACCGATTTTGTTTTTTTTGTTTTTTTAACGTCCTGTTTTTGACCCATCTATGGCCTACATTAGACCATCTCTGTGGTTAAAATGTAGATTTTCCCAGAGTGATTTGGACCATGGATGGCAATGCTGGGGACTGTACTTCTTGAATAAAACATTGAAAAAGCAAGCTAGACTTTGAAATCATCTGTTTGTTGTTTTTACCTCCCAATATCCCTGCAGCATTCTAGTTTGTTGTATTCCTGCATAGTGACGTGCTTTAGGTGTCTCGGCATTCACCAAAGAGTCCCAGAAGCATTGTAGTCCTTTCTTATTCCCAGCTTTCATCGGGGCAGTAATTGGTGCACGGCTCCCTCTGGTTGTTATCAGCAGCCTGTCAGTTGGGGATTTGGCAGCCATGCGGACAGCGCACCTGTTCCTATCCTCTAACACTGTTCTCTCCACACCGAACAGAGGCAGGGCAGGTGTGACACCTATGCCACCGAGTTTGACCTTGAAGCTGAAGAGTACGTCCCGCTCCCGAAGGGGGATGTCCACAAGAAGAAAGAAGTGATTCAGGATGTCACGCTGCATGACTTGGATGTAGCCAATGCAAGGCCTCAGGTAGGTGTCGGGGACAGTCTCCATTTGTGGAACATGACGGGAGGGGATGGTTTTATTAGAGGGAAACGCAGATGAAGTTTTGTAGTGATACGCACATCAGGAAGCGGTGCTGTGATTTTTAATTATGGTGGTCAGGTGTAAAGAAGCTCAGAGGTGATGAGCTGAATATTTTCCAGGAAACTGGATGTGTTGTGCAGCAGGCTTGTCTGTAGATTGTGCTGTAATGCACAGAACCATTTTGCTGATTTGATCCAAGGCTCCGCGGCTTCTGTTGTGCGAGCAAACATGCGTTTTGAGGTCTCTGTTAATGGGCTTCAGGAGTGCTTTTAAAGTGGTTGTAGAGATGCACCGAAATTTCGGCCACTGAAACATATTGGCCGAAAATAGCGCTGATAGGAATAATTTAGCCGATACAGGGGACTGGGTGTACTGCAGGTGGGGGGGGGGGGGGGCGGAGGTGGAGAAAGGTAGGAGAGGAGCTGTGTATACAGTGACTGGCTATCACTATATGTCAGTGCCGATTTTAAATGTTTTACGGCTTTTTTTTTTTTTCTTCTACACTATAGCTCAGAGAATGACCTGTCACTTTCCCCGAGTTAAAAGAAATGAAGTTTTTTAGTTTCCTTCCCCAAGGTAAAAGAAACAAAATTTTTCTCTGAGCTTTAGTGAAGGGAAAAAAAAGCCGGCAATTGAATTTAAAAACCAGTACTGACCTATAGCGGTTTATTTACTAAAGCTGGAGAGTGCAAAATCAGACTTCTGCATAGAAACCAATCAGCTTCCAGGTTTTATTGGCAAAACTTAATTGGACAAGCTGAGGTCAGAAGCTGATTGGTTTCTGTGCAGAAGTCTGATTTTACACTCTCCAGCTTTAGTAAATCAAACCCCATAGTGACCCCCCTCCCCCCCATAGTGACAGCCAGTGAGGGAGCCTCTCTGTATACGCTGCTCCCTCACTGTATACACTTCTCCTCTCCTGCCCCCTCCTTGCACACACTGCTCCCTCCTCCCCCTTACAAAGATGGCCTGTCACTCATATGCTATACGGGACTATAAATCATAAGTTAAAATATATGTGTGTGTGTATATACACATGAAAATCGAAAGCAATATAAAAATATTTTAAATTGGGGGCCTCCCTACATACGCAGACATTTCGGTTCGGTTTTTGGTCACAGGCATTCTGAATCTTCGGTATTGGTTTCGGAACCAGAATTTTCATTTCTGTGCACCACTAATTTTTACCTTCATGCATTCTCTGTATTAAAATGGAAGTAAATGCAAACCCCAATTAACTCTAAACCTACTCTCAGCCACATTCTAAGCCTAATCTATCTAGCCCTGTAAAGAAAAAAAAAATCGCTATACTTATCTGTTCTGCAACCACTTTGGTCCAGTCCCATGCTGATCTGTCAGCAGCAGCTTTAGTGTGAAGAAGAGGCAACCGACAACGGATGCCCCACAGTAACTCTATGGGTGACATCACTTCCCAGGCATTTCACAGCCATTGTCTGCTATCTTCAGCACACTGAGGGCACTGCTAGAGACTGGAGCGGCTGCAGAACAGGTAAGTGTGGTTTTTTTTTGGGGGGGGGTTTTAAGGGCTTGGTAGATTAGACTTAGATTGTGGCTAAGAGTACTTTTTTGAGTGAGTAAGGTTTTGTCTTTATGATCTCTTTAATCTCTTCACGCCTGCCGAACGCAAATGTGCGGCCTCCCGGCGTCTGGGCCTAGACACCGAGCAGCCATACATTTGCGTTCTATTAAAAAAAGACATGCTAAGAGCGCGTGCCCTGCGCGCTCCCAGCACACATGTCTGGTACTCACGGAAAGGTCACGATCTCCTCTTTCGATCGGGACCTTTCCCGATCATGTGACGGTGTGTCATGGCAGTCACATGACCCTAAACCCCTGCCTCCCGGCTTCTGAAACCCTTAAAGGGCCAGTAGGCGCCGGCGCGAAGGGGTTAAGGTAGGCATGTCCAAAGTCCGGCCCGCGGGCCATTTACGGCCCGGGGGTCGGTTTAATACGGCCCTCCAACAGCCCTCCCTGCTCTGTGTTATGTGGCCCTCCCACAGCCCTCCTTTCTATGGCAGACAGTCTTCTGCTTGAGAGCAGAGGGCAGTGCCCATGCCTGACTGCAGCGCGTTCTCCCTGGTCTGTGTAAATGCGGCTGTCGCACGGCCCTCCCTTCTGTGGCAGACAGTCTTCTGCTTGAGAGCAGTGCGCATGCGTGACTGCGCCGCGCTGGGAGCGACAGAGGGCGGTGACGTCAGGGCCGGGCTTTCAGTGTGAAGTGTGTTTTTCTCTTCCCCTCCGCGCTGCCGAGCAGAGACTTCAGCTCCAGCTACCTTTTTCACCCTTCACATTAGTGCAGGTAAGTTTTTTTTTTTTTTTTTTTTTATTTATTTTCAATACATTGTGAAAACTCAGCTGTCAGTTGATCTTAATGTTATGAAATGAAAAGTATGTCGTTTGCAATTAACTTGGCATAAAATAATTTATTTGCATTTAATTGTAATGGTTCAAAGAATGTTCGAAAAAATGTTCGGCCCTCCACCATGTTCACTTCATCCAATCTGGCCCTCTTTGAAAAAAGTTTGGACACCCCTGTGTTAAGGTAAATAAAAACATTTCCAAGTCCGCTTCCCCCCAGCCTCACCTGAAATACCTGAGCACAGTCTCAATCCAGCACTGTGCCCATCTGCAGCAGCGCCTCTTTTCCCTGGTCTTACAGGGGCTTGGCAGCAGCAGGAGCCAATGGTTTGCTGCTGTTAATTCAATTCTGTGAGGGGCAGGGTTAAGCTGCACTGTGTGTCAGACGCACACGGTGCAGCTCAGGATTGAGCCTGTACGAGTACCCCCATAGCAAGAGGCTTGCTATAGGGGCATTTGGAGATGAGGAGCCAGGGGCACCGGTGGGGGACCCCAGAAGAAAAGGATTGGGGCTGATCTGTGCAAAACCATTGCACACAGCAGGAAAGTATAAACAGGTTTGTTATTTTAGAGAGAAAAAAAAGTAAACCCTTACAATCACTTTAACATCTTTTTAAAGTTATTCCTCAGATCATTCACAATTCTCTGCAGGTGTATTTGACCTGCTTTTGCATTCCTATAGACTTTTATGGGAATAAAAGCAGTTCAAAAACACGTTAAAGCTGCCCCTTAATCGGCATTGTACTAGTACATGGTGAGACAATTACATCTGACAAAAGAAAAAGTGTGAAGCAGAATGATATCCTGTTCGTGTCATTTACGGTGGTATTTCTGATTGCAGGGAGGACAAGACATCCTTTCGATGATGGGTCAGTTGATGAAACCGAAGAAAACAGAGATCACAGGTAATCCTAAGATTTCTTGTTTTTTATATGGCGCCAAACTAAAGCTCACCAACCAAAAAAAACAAATGATCGATATTAGTCTCCCAGCTGCACTGATCATCAATGTAAAGAGGCAGTTTACCACTGACATCCAACATAGAGGCACTTCTCCACTGGCCACTATATCTTGCTGCTTTTTAGGATTTTTCTGACTTACTGACAATAATTTGTCATAAAGAACAAGTGGGTGACATTAACCCCTTCACGCCGGCGCCTCCCAGCCCTTTAAGGTTTCAGGAGGCGGGGAGGGGTTTAGGGTCATGTGACCGCCGTGATGATCGGGAAAGGTCCCAGTCGAAGGAGGAGATCGGGACCTTTCCGTGAGTACCGGACATGTGTGCTGGGAGCGCGCAGGGTGCGCGCTCTCGGCACATATGTCCTTTTTTAATTGCACACACATGTGCGGCCTCTGAGTCTAGGCCCAGACGCCAGGAGGCCGCACATTTGTGTGCGGCTGGCGTGAAGAGGTTAAATTATCTGATCTTGGTGTCAAATTCTCTGCGGACAGCACATTGTTTATTATCTTGTTTAATCTTACGTCTACAATTTAATAATTATACTAATATACCAGAAACTGTAGATATACATTTTTACTTGGGATTCCCTAGCCACTGAAAATGATTTCGAGGATAAAGGGGTTGACAGAGGCTGGTGTATGACATGTGCTCCTCTAGAAAGTATTTGCGGAAATGCCATGTCAGTGTTTTTTGTGTTGTATAAGACTGTGAAATGCTCTGTCTCTTGTTTCCCAGACAAGCTGAGAGGGGAAATCAACAAAGTGGTCAATAAATACATCGACCAGGGCATTGCAGAACTGGTTCCTGGTGTCCTGTTCATCGATGAGGTGCACATGCTGGACATTGAATGCTTCACCTATCTGCATCGTGCCCTGGAATCATCACTCGCCCCCATTGTCATTTTCGCCACTAACAGAGGAAACTGCGTCATCAGGTACGGAGTGCCTCGCGTATTGATCCGGAGAAATGGGCAAATAAATATAGGATCTTGTCTTAAAAAAAAATGTTCTTCCTATATTATTATTATTATTATACAGTAGTTATAAAGCGCCAATAGTTCGCTCAGCGCTGTACATTACAAAGGGGGACAGAACATGTGACAGAACAATACCAATACAATGCAAAACACGAGGGCCCTGCTCTTTGGAGCTTACAATCTAGGAGGGAGGGGATGGTGGCACAGGAGGAGATAGCTGTGGGGGATGGAGTGGTAGGAAGAGTGGAGGAGGTCGGCAAGTTAGCAGGGGGTGGGGTAGGCTTCCCTGAAGAGATGGGTTTTCAGGGTGCGCCTAAAGGAGAGGAGAGTAGGTGATAATCTGATGGGTTGGGGCAGGGAGTTCCAGAGGACGGGTGACGCCCTGGAGAAGTCCTGGAGGCGGGCATGGGAGGAGGAGACCAGGGAACTAGAGAGGAGGAGGTCTTGTGAGGAGCGGAGTGTGTGTGCTGGGCATAAACCAGTTCATATTTTCCCGCTAAGGTGGTGCAGCCAATAGACAGCCAAACACCTGATAGCAAAGAGAAACAATAATCCTTTTATAAAATTATAATCGAATTGTATTTTACAATTTTAGATGCATAAATAGTACATTTTACTGTTCTTTTATCCTTTCAAGATCAGGGAGAGTCTTGAGTCTTTGTAACTGAAGTGGCTAGGATCAGGAGGCTTTAAAGGTTAACATCGCCTTTTAGACCATGTATCGTTACACCAATATTTGGGATGTAACCTGGTTGCAAGAGGATCAAACTGCATCCCAGTCTGTCCATTGCACCTGCAATGCACTGCTATTTAATTTTTTTGGCTGCAGATGGCTTTAAAAAAAAAAAAAAAAAATCATAATCGCCTAGATGGCTGCAGCACCGATTCCCGTTGCAGCTGACCTCCCCCAACTCTGAGACCGACAACTGAGCGATCAAAACAGCTTATTGTTCAGTTCTCGGTCTTCAGCCTGCAGGGGGCTGGTGGCTGTCAGTCACCAGCTTTCTGCTCTGCCCCTCCAGTGCTCACTGGAGCCATGGGCTGTGCAAGGGGCAGGAGCGGCTAGCTCCGTTTCTCAGGGGCTCGCTGAGAGGTTGTGCCAGCTGGCGGTCCAGGCATCTGGGTGGATTCTGACTGTAAAGTTGGGATCTTTCCCGAACCTGGACCTCCTGAAAATTGATGCACTCCTGTAGTCCCAAAGGAGCAGCACAACCAAAATAGCTTTGGCTATACTTTAATATTATTAACAACAACAATTTTTTTTCTGCTAAAGGTAGAGTTAACCTTTGAGACCCTGTTACCAATTTTTTAAAAAAAATGAAGGTAAAAGCAAATATCTAGATTTTAAATGCATTTTTCCTTTCCAGAAAAGGCACTTGCAATGGGCCTTTGAACTTGCTAAGAAGATTCCACACTCCAAGAAGAGTCAGTTTCCTTGCACAGCCTGCTCCCTGCCCCTCCCCACAGATTATGTGACAGCAGTGGAGGAGCAAAGACAAATACTATAGAGTGACAGCTTTGTGCCTTCTGACATTGCATCCAAGATGGTTGCATCCAACTGTACTCTCAGGGCATGTAGATGTCTACACAAGGGAGGCTTTCTTGTAAATAACACGCATAAAATCCACGTCCCCTGCTTGTGCGCGCTCCCAGGGAGCACGCAGCACCGCGATCCGGTGCCCGCTGTGTCCTCCGGACACAGTGGAACACCGATCTTCGGACGGGACCTCTGTGCGAGGTCCTGATCATGTGATCACTGATTGACCAATCAGTGATCACATGCAGAGTAGTAAGCAAGATGTCACTTCTGACATCATTTCTTACTACGTGTGAAATCTGTGAATGATCACAGAGGTCACATGGTACAAGGCTGTTCATAACAGCCTTGTACCATGTGATAAGCTGTGACCAATCACAGCTCACACAGTAGTTCTCAATGTCTGCAAAAATGCAGCCAGAGAGGAGGAGAAATGATTGCTTTTACAGCCTTTATGGGTGTATAAGCAATCAGTGCAAAAAAAAAAAAAAAAATCTTCATCACCCCCCACAAGTAGTAGTGTCACTATGGTGACACTGTACTGCTAATAATATAAAAATGTAAAAAAAGTTTTAAAAATTATAATTTTTGGTTAAGCTAATTTGGGTTTTTTTGTGGTTTTTTTTTTTTTTTTACTAAAAAGATAACGGAATACATTTTGTCCAAGATTTATGATGAAATATTGCAAATTTTTATAAGAAAAACACTTTTTTGGAAAAAAATTTTGGACTTTTACATAGCAAAAAAAATAAAAATCCCAGTGGTGGATAAATACCACCAAAATAAAGCTTTATCTGTCTAAAAAAAAAATGCTAAAAAAATTCATATGGGTACAGTGTTGCACGACCGTGCAATTGTCATTCAAAGTGTGATAGCGTTGAAAGCTGAAAATTGGCCTGGGGGGGAAAGTGTCCAGACTGGAAGTGGTTAAAGTGAACCTGTGCTTTATGCAGGGCAAACCCACTTGTTTCACTAATGGTAGCTGCTTCCTTTTCCCTGCCCACGTCTTTGTTCAACCACTGACCGCTAGCAATCAAATCTATAATTACATATCGGCATTATGTGCTGATTGGGCACTATGGATGCCAAACACTTCCATACAAGAAAAGCGATTTAGTGAACTAATATTGCTGTATTTATGCTGTGTTCTAAACCGGTACATTGTTGTGGATTTTCAGGGGAACAGAAGATGTCGTCTCCCCACACGGGATACCCCTGGATCTCCTGGACAGAGTGATGATTATCCGGACCATGCTGTACACACCACAGGAAATGAAGCAGGTGAGGACATCTCCATGGTTTGTGTGATAAATCTGTCATTTGTTGTTTTGACTGTTGGAACCGTCACCCTCACCAAGTGAAGGGAAGCCAAGCCAAAAGGCTTTCTTTAGAAGCTGGATTTGAAATTTGGATCGGGTTACTTTAATATTGGAAAGCTAATATTGGAATGCACGTTCCTAACTCCAGAAACCACTAAACAGCTCATCCACTCCCTCATCATATCACGACTCGACTACTGCAACTCCCTCCTCACTGGCCTGCCTCGCCGCTGGCTATCCCCGCTTCAGTCCATCCTGAATACGGCTGCCAGACTCATCCACCTTTCCAACCGCTCCGTCTCCGCCCCCCCCCTCTGCCAATCCCTCCACTGACTTCCGATTGCGCAACGGATCAAATTCAAAATCCTAACACTGACGTGCAAAGCCGTCCACCATACTGCCCCGAACTACATCACTGACCTAATATCCAAGTACCACCCAACACGCACACTCCGCTCCTCACAAGACCTCCTTCTCTCTAGTTCCCTGGTCTCCTCCTCCCATGCCCGCCTCCAGGACTTCTCCGGGGTGTCACCCATCCTCTGGAACTCCCTGCCCCAACCCATCAGATTATCACCTACTCTCCTCTCCTTTAGCGCACCCTGAAAAACCCACCTCTTCAGGGAAGCTACCCCACCCCCTGCTAACCTGCCGACCTCCTCCACTCTTCCTACCACTCCATCCCCCACAGCTATCTCCTCCTGTACCACCATCCCCCCCCTCCTAGATTGTAAGCTCCAAGGAGCAGGGCCCTTGAATCCCTCATGTTTTGCATTGTATTGGTATTGTTCTGTCACATGTTCTGTCCCCCTTTGTAATGTACAGCGCTGAGCGAACTATCGGCGCTTTATAAATACTGTATAATAATAATAATCTCTTAGATTGTAAGCTCCAGGATCAGGGCCCTCCTAACCCTCTTGTATTGAACTGTATTGTTGCTGTATTATTTCCCATTAAATTGTAAAGCGCTGAGCAAACTGTTGGCGCTATATAAATCCTGTATAATAATATAATTTGTAGTCTCCTTTGACGGGAATGCATGGTGCCCTTTGGTATAAACCGCAAAAAATCTGATTGGTTTTAGCTAGCTTGTGTATGCATTCATTCCTGTTGGATAGTGTAGTTCTTACTATACTTCCAGCTTTGTGACAGGAGAGCTGTGGCTTGCATACGCTGAAGCCACGGTGTTTGACCACCCATATGTCCTCCTTGTCCATTCACAGAATCTCACGTATTTGGTGAATGGTTTGCAGAATACAAAGCATTCTGTGAATGAGAGCTGCAGCTCTTCTGTCGCAGCCCCAGAAATCTATTGTTATACATGTGTAAACATTAAAGAAATGACAGCAACACTTATTTCTAATGCCCCTCCCGAGACTTGGCTTGTTTTCAAACTGAAGTTTTAACCACTTGCGGATCGCCCTCAGTTTACTGCAGACGGGCGGCCCACACAGGAAAAGCGATATACCTGTACGTTGCTGCCCGTGTCCGGGTATGGGGGCCCCCCACTGGCAACCGCTGTGATTTTACACAGTGGGAGCCTTTTCCCAAGTCCCAGCCAATGATTTGTGTCCGGGACCTGCTGATGATGTGCTAACGAGCAACACTGAGCTCTGTACAGAGGGAATGATCTCTGTTTCTTATTCCTGCAAAGCAGGAATAAAAATAAGAGATCATTGGTCAAATACAGCCCCTTTTATACATATTACACATAGTTGGGCACACATTGAACCCCTTGATTACGCTAGATGTTAACCCCTTCTCAGCCAATGTCATTAGTAGTGACCCTGTATAGTATTATCACTGATCACTGTATAAACGTCACTGGTGATATCAGTAGCGTTAGTCAGATTGCCCGCTGCATTATTGCAGTCCCCTTACAAGTCGCTGATCATTGCCATTCGTAGTATAAAAAAAAAAATTCCATTATATGTACAATAGTTTGTAGGAGCTAAAAGTTTCATGCAAACCAATCAATATACACTTACTGGGATTTTTGTTATCAAAGGCATGTACCAGCATACATATTGGTTACATTTATGAAGATTTTTTTTTTTTTTTTTTTTTTGGATATGTTTTGTAGCAGAAAGTAAAAAAAATATTTTTTTTTTCGATATATTTTCTGTCTTTACCAGTTAAAGTAGTGCAGTGCTAAATGGCAAAAAATGGCCTGGTCATGAAGGGGGTAAATTCATCTGAGCTGAAGTGGTTAGGAAAGAAAATATTTTCCCAGAGTTTTTTTTTTTTTTTTTTTTTTTTTTTTTTTTTTTTTATGCAGCACTTGCCTTATTTAAGTGTCTGTTGCAAAGATAGTGTGCTGAGGGTAGAACATAGACTCAGAAAATGTTTACTGATATTATATGAAGGAGGAATTCCCTGACATCCCTTTAGACATACTCCCTCTTCATCACTGGTAGTTTAGCATGTCAGCTCTGCTCATGTTCACTGCAGCTGATAAACTCGCGTTCAGGAGCTTTTCTGCAGGTTTTTTTGGGTTTTTTTTTTTTGCTGCCCCCGAACTCTCCCTAATGTTTTCCTATGTGTTCATGTACACATTGTCATTTACAAGCAGTTGAGTTTACAGTCATTTTTTTTTGACCGCACCAAACTTGCGTTCAGGAGTAGATTTTATCAGCGTTTCAAACCCTTGTAAACACGGCTAACAGCTTTTAGAAGCGTTTTTTAACTGTTCCATAGCCAGATGCTGTCCCAGAGCCTTTTTTCATCATCGGAAATGCATGCAAAGCGTTTTCCATGTATTCAAATGGACCCGGACCAGCGCAGTCAGTTCCGGTATACCAGCACAGTCAGTTCCAGGTATTCAAATGGACCCGGTACACCAGCGCAGTCAGTTCCAAGTTTGGCGTGAAGGAAACAATGGTAGAACGCGCTGCATTATGCTCATGATGGGATCCATAGTGAATACAACCAGAAAAGACAGGTCATCTCCACACATACTGCTCTCTCTCTGCTTCTGCTCTCTCTATTCCTCTCAAAATGTCTGAAATAGTTAATTATTTACTATTTTTCAGCGCATTCTGGGCATTTTGGAAGGTCTCCTGATGTTTTCTTAAAAAAAAAAAAAAACGCTTTGAAACGCAAACAGGCATAAACGTGGCTAAACAGACGTTTAACCTACATCTTACAGCTGTCAGTTTCCATTGTTCAGAAGAGTTTTCCAAACGCCCCCGTGTACATGAGCCATAAAGGAAGGCCAAGGATGCTTTCAACTAACCCCATGTGTTTGCAGGCAACTTTACAAAAAAACTTTTTTTTTTTTTTTTTTTATTTCAGAAAAGCACGACCCTGAATGCTAGAACCGTGCTTTAAGCATTGCAAAAGAAAAAAAAAAGTTTTATTTTGGCAATCTAGCCTGATTCGCCTGGATATATAAGCGCAGCTGTGGTGCATCCATTCTTTCACACTTCTTGCATTGCAGGGGGTCACTGTATCTTTAAACCTAAAAGAAACCTTCAACTCTTGCTAATAAATTCCTTCACAAATGCTGGAAATGAATAAAGACCATTGCATTCATTATCTCATCCTTGAACGGCTGTCAGTAAAGTTTCAGGAGAGCTCGCGCCTGTCCGCTGGCTGTGCATTCCCAGGTTTCATCTAAGCAGGCGCCTCACGCTATCTTGTTTACAGAGCTGCCAAAGTGAAAAATACCTGTATTATATGAGACCTGCTATCTCAGCAGTACAACACACAACACTATTATCCCGGCTGCCCCTTATCATTCAGCGAAGAGAGCCAGCGCATGGTGCCAGCTCCCCCGTGCTCCATGCACCGCACCTTGTCATGCAGTATATGCAGATGTTATTTTGCAGTGTCTTTTTTTGAGAACAAATTTTGATTCTTTATAGTGACAATTACCCAAAAACTGGTTTTACTGCAACTTTTAATTTTTTTTTTCTCACACTATAGCTGGCCATACATCATACAATTTTCTTGTTCAATTTATTTCACTTTGGCGCTCTATTTCAAATTTCATTGTTTTTGGTTTGATTACATTATTCAATTAAATTTATTCTATTTTTTATGATTATTAAATTATAATTTATGATTTCGTGTTTCAAGTTTTAACATACCCGGGATGTTTACTAGACTCTTGTTCGGACAGATTTCAGTGAGTTATTCCTAAGAATTACAGGCTTACAAAAAAAATACATATTTCCATGCAAAAAAATGTACCGCTTTGAGCACAGAAATACTGACATAATCATACCGCTAGGGAGGTTAAAGTGTGGAAAGACTGCTCAGTCTTGACCTGTAGAATTTGCCTCCTGTGTTGACACATTGCAGCAGTACTTGTTACATCAGGACCCATCCCCTGTATAAACCACTGCATTGCAAAAAAAAAAAAAAGCGGCGTAGCAACACAAGGAGACAACCAGTGCTCATATGTCAAGGAGGAGAGAGCAGAGAGATGAGCTCATCAGTCTGGAGCTTCTCCTTTTACTGTCCAGTCACAGGCTGTGGGAGGGGCTAGACCAGTAAGTGTTACTGGGCTGCAGCAGAGAAAAACTAGGTTTCTTGCTCTGCAAGACAGCAGTGTAAATCTCCGAGCAAAGGACAGAAATACCTTTGGGAAGGTAATAGCTCCCTTCAGTGGTGTCCCGAGGCAGGTGCGGGGGGTGACGCCTACCGCACGGGGTGACGCCTACCGCACGGGGTGACGCCTACCGCACGGGGTGACGCCTACCACGGGGTGACGCCTACCGCACGCACGGGGGTGACGCCTACCGCACGGGGTGACGCCTACCGCACGGGGTGACGCCTACCGCACGGGGTGACGCCTACCGCACGGGGTGACGCCTACCGCACGGGGTGACGCCTACCGCACGGGGTGACACCAGACCCCCGCTCCATGAAAAGGTAAGTTGTAAAGCAAGCTGACAATCCCCGCAGGATGGATCCTATCCATCCTGCGAGGATCATCGGCTTTCTTTACAACTTACCTTTTCATGGAGCGGGTTCCGGTATCACCCCGTATAGGTTGCATGCCGACGATTCCCCGCAGGATGAATCGGATCTGAAGATTGTGGAGCATAATGGATCGGACTCCGATCCATTATGCTCAATCTGCAGATCCGATCCATTCTGCGGGGATCGTCGGAGGGGGTGTCACCAAGTGTTATCTCACCGGGTGACACCAACCCTAGGGACGCCCCTGGCTCCCTTTTTAGTACAGAATATAATATTTTAAAAAATCTAATGATTCCGTTTTAAGAAGATATATTTTAAAGAACATTATTTTTTTTTTAAGTCATCTAGAAGTTCATACTGCTCAGAGTCCCCTTCGATCAGACAATCTCTTTCCCTCCCACCTGTCATTATGTATCATCATTACGTTGTATATTAGAGGTATTCTCTGCCAGTGTCATTCTATGGATAAAGTGAAAGGGAGTGGGAAAGAGCGCATTAAACCGCCCACTGAGTAAAGCCACCATCTCATCCTCCTGCTTCCTTGTTTCTCCATCCAGATTATAAAGATTCGAGCGCAGACCGAGGGCATTAACATCAGCGAAGAAGCCTTAAATCACCTGGGGGAGATCGGCACTAAGACCACATTGAGGTTAGTAATGTTCTGGGCCTGCAGGGTCGTTCTTCTCCTAGAACAGGGGACACTGGAGGACACGGCAGCTGAGACACATCGGCATCACCCCACCGCTCAGGTAGACAGATGTCGGCTGTCAGTGATAGGAACAGCTCAGGTGTGTTATCCTCCTCATCTGATGGCAGCAGACCTGAGTGCCATTCTTTTACTTTGTGAAACCACCGACAGGCTCCCCCTCTGCATGCTTTACTTTCTAATGTTTTTCTAACTTAAAGGAGCATTCCAACAACAATAAAAACACCACCCTTTTATATTCCGAATAGATTCAGAAAATTAAATATACTTTAAGGTGACCACTAGCTAAAACAATGTAAAGTCTTTTTTTTTTTTTCTTCATTTTGGACCGTGATCAAAATCCTTGTTGGCTATATTTGTTTAAGTTTTATCTTCTCTGCCCCACTCCTGTCCTTCAGACACACCAGAAAGTAAAAAGAAATCTCTTTGTAGTGAAGGTAAACACATTGTGTAGTCAGTTGTCACCCGAACAAGTGTTTCTTTTCTGGTAACCACTCAAAAATTTGGATTTTCTGTCTCTGTGCATATAGACATTGGTATCCAAGGCAGAAGGTGAGTCTACCCAGGGACACAGCAATAAAAATCTGACAGAGGATCTAATCTCATCCCTCTCCATCCAAAACTAAACAAAAAAAGGTTAAATGTACTTTAAATTCAGGACAGAGTGACAGATTCTCTTACAATACTTGGGAGGGAGAGTTACTAAAGGGCGAAAGAACTCAGGATGAGAGAAGAGGGTATTTGGATGGGCGGTACTTAAAGTATTTGGGTTACCAGGAAGGAGAGAGCTCGTGGTAGGAGAGGAAGGTACTTGGGTGGGTTTGAGAGGCTCAGGTAGGTAGAAGGAGGTACTTGGGTGGGTTTACAAGGATAGAGCTCAGGTAGGGAGAGGGAGGTACTTGGGTGGGTTTACAAGGATAGAGCTCAGGTAGGTAGAAGGAGGTACTTGGGTGGGTTTACAAGAAGAGAGCTCAGGTAGGGAGAGGAAGGTACTTGGGTGGGTTTACAAGGATAGAGCTCAGGTAGGTAGAAGGAGGTAATTGGGTGGGTTTACAAGGATAGAGCTCAGGTAGGGAGAGGGAGGTACTTGGGTGAGTTTACAGAAAGAGAGCTCAGGTAGGGAGAGAAGGTACTTGGGTGGGTTTACAAGGAGAGAGCTCAGGTAGGGAGAGGGAGGTACTTAAGTGGGTTTACAAGGCGAGAGCTCAGGTAGGGAGAGGGAGGTACTTGGGTGAGTTTACCAGAAGAGAGCTCAGGTAGGGAGAGGGAGGTACTTGGGTGGGTTTACAAGGAGAGAGTTCAAGGTTGGAGGGAACATTTGGGTCACTCTACAAGGAGAGTGCTCAGGGTGGGGAGAGATGGCTTTTGGGTGGGCTCACAACAAGGAGAGCATGCAGGGTGGGAAAGGAAGGTACATGGGTGGGCTTAAAAGGAAAGAGCTCAAGGTGGAAAGGAGGAGGTATTTAAGTGGGCTCCAGCTATTTAAAGGAGAGAGCTCAGGGTCAAAGGGGATGACAATTGGGACCTTTACAAGGAGAGAGCTCTGTTAGGAAGTGGAAGGTACCTAGGTGGGCTCCAGCCATTACGAGGAGGAGAGTTCCATCATGCCTCTGCAAGTCATAGCTGTAACTGTCAGTTTTGTAATATTTGCAATGCCTCATGGAAAAATGTTGTTTCACAACAACTAGAGAGCCGCAGGTTGCCTACCCCTGACCTAGACGGAGCTGGCTAAGGCTGCTATCACTTACATGACGGACAGCTTTGCACGGTGTGCTGCGTTTGGGACATTAATATTCCATCATATTCTTAATATGTTTTAATGACATAATATTGGGTACATTATTCATTACTGTATAATCTTGGAAGAACAAGTTAATGCCAACATGGAAGATGTCCTAATATACTCTACTTTTGCATCCAATATGGCAGAATACCCTATAGAATCTGTTGCGGCATTACAGGCAGGTGATAACATTATTACTATGAACTTGAATTTGCCATGCCCTTCCTGAATTGACACACAGCTTCTGACAGCATCCACACCATCAGTAATGAGTCAGAAAAACCTTACTGAATCGCACCGATTAGTCTGTTATCCAACTTACATACAGATGTTTCTAGCTTGGCTCTCAATACAAGATGTAGACGCCGTGGCTTCTGAAACCTACAGAGCAACAAGACTTCCATTAAGGTTTCTCTGAGGTCTCTAACATTGAAATAAAGACAATGCAGACAGAAGACATGTTAATGTTTTTATTCCCATTGTAGGTACTCTGTACAGCTCCTGACCCCAGCTAACCTCCTCGCCAAAATCAATGGCAAAGACAGCATCGAGAAAGAACACGTGGAAGAAATAAACGAACTCTTCTACGACGCCAAATCATCTGCGAAAATACTTGCCGAGCAACAAGAAAAGTATATGAAATAATCCTACAATGACATTCCATCCTGCCTCTCCTTCCCATTACCATCATCCGCTGTGATATCCCGGAACAGATAACTGTCTCAGAATGACCCGTTGTGACATTAACAAATTAGTCCTCTCTTTTGGCTTCTGGATTGATGGATGTGAATGGATTAGAAAATATTTTTAATGTGCGTTTTTGGTGAAAATTTTTTTTCTTATTTTTTAAATTAAATATAACAGAAAAAATTAGTTGTGTTGTATACCATAAATGGTTAGGGGAGCACGAAGCTGAGCTGACGTCGACCCAACTTTTTGGGATATGGTGCCCTATTACGTTTGGTTTTGAATTTATTACCACTATAACCTCTACATGCCGGCCACACACAAATGTGCGTCCTCCCGGTGTCTGGGCCTAGACGCCGAGCAGCCGCACATTTGTGTTCTATTAAAAAAGGACATATGTGCTGCGAGCGCGCGCTTCCAGCACACATGTCCGGTACTCACGGAAAGGTCCCGATCTCCTCTTTTTTTCGGTCGCATCATGGCAGTCACATGACCCTAAACCCGCCTCACGGCTTCTGGAACCCTTTAAAGGGCCAGAAGGCCCCGGCATGAAGGGGTTAAACTTCAAGGACAGGTCTGATTGTTACAGAGGAGAAGAGGTTGGAAAAGACATCAAGTAAAAACCTCTGTGTGAGTTTTATGTGTTTGATCCAGAAGAAGGTTAAAAAAAAAAAAAAAACACAAGCATAGGACATAAGAGGGTAAAAAGATAATGACCCCATACTGATGATTGGACATGTACCTGGATTAACCAGGGAATTTAAAGCGGTTGGAAAGTCGTTAAGCAAAAAACAAAAATCATCTGCAACCACTGGCCCTCCTGAGGATTTGCCCTCCTTTCTGACCAGGCCATTTTTTTCTTTACGGCTCTGCGCTATTTTAACTGACAGTTGTGCGGTCGTGCGTCGGTGCACCCAAATGAAATTTTTCCCCACAAATTGAGCTTCTTTCGGTGATATTTGATCGCCTGTGCGGTTTTAAATTTTTGCACTATAAAAAAAAGACAATTTTTGAGAAAACGGTATTTAACTTTTTTTTATTATTAAACATGCCCAGTAGAAAAATTAAAAAAATCAAATTTCCCTAGTCGCCTTCCAGGACAGCTTCACATGAGAGGTTCCTCCCAGGAAACACCCGAACCACCACCTTTTCCATAAATAGCCCCTCTCCCTAGGGGACCCCCTGTATTAGTGTTTCCTCCGGACCAGGGACAGGAACTGCTCCTTTTTTTTTTTTTTTTTTTTTTTTAAGCATGGTCACCTGGTGGGGTACAAAGGCCTGGATGGGGCTACCCCTCCTATTTGCAAGCAAGGCAGGGGCCTTGTGAGCTGGCCTCTCCTGTGTTCCTTGCACAGCCCCCCATTCTCCTGTGGTTGGGGGTGACAGTCGTCGGCCACATGACTGCAGTCATACTGGGGGGTACAATGGGCACAACTACACTCCAGAACAATACAGAACCATGTCCTCTCCCACTGGGATGGCAGCCATGCGTCCCTGGATTCTAGCATCTGCCTAACGCACAAAGTGAGAGCGTCACTAGAGTGGTGGGGGAACATTCACACACTTAAAGCGGAAGAAGGTGGAAACAATCCAACCCAATAAGAATCACCAAGTATGTGGGGGTGGGCGCACGTATGGAGGGTTGCCTGACCCAGGGCAAGTGGGACCCGGAAACCTCAAGAAGATCATCAAACTTCAGGGAATTCAGGGCGCTCTGCTTTTCAGGAGAAAATAGAAGGGAAAGAGATTCAGATCCTGTCTGACAACATGACAGCCGTTGCATATTTGAACAGGCAAGTGCCTCACGAGGTCCCCGAAACGAATGGAACTAGCAGAAACCCTCCTGAGCTGGGAATAAATTATGGTATTCTGCTATGTCTTTGCAAAAAAAATAAAAAGTAAATTAATTGGTTTACGTGAAAGTTATAGCGTCTAAAAATGGCGGTATAGATAGTGTGATTTTTCTTTATTTTTACTAGTAATGGTGGTGATCAGCGACTTACTGTGGGACTGCGGCGGGCATTCTGACACTGGGGGGGGGAGGGGAACTGACTTGGTGTCACTGACATCCCCAGTGACACCAATACAGTGATCAGTGCTAAAAAAAAAAAAAAAAAAAAACTGACACTGGGCAGGAAGGGGTTAACATCTGGGGTGATCAAAGGGTTAACTGTGCTGTTTTACTTGTGTCTGTGCTTCACTGTGTTCACACTGCTTTGGATGGCTGTGCTGTGCATAGCCATCCTAAACAGTGTGCAGGAAAATAAAAATTTCCAGCATCTATATTGCCATTTGTAAACGCTAAAACTTTCACGAAAGCCAATTAATTTACACGTATTTTTTTTTTTTTTTTCTTTTTTCCCTTTAGCAAAGACAAGGCGCAGAATACATTTTGGCCTAAATTTATGATGAAGTTTGATTGTTAAATTTTTTTTACTGGACATGTTTAAGAGCAAAAATTCAAAAATACTGTTTTTTTTTGTTTTTGTTTTTTTTTTTTTGTTTTTTTTTATAACGCAAAAAAAATATAAAAAAGGCACAGGCAATCAAATACCACCGAAAGAAGGCTCGATGCGTGGGGAAAAAAAGGATGTATATTTAATGCGGGTGCAGCGTTGCATGACCGCACAATTGTCAGTTAAAGTAACGCAGCGCCATAATGCAAAAAATGGCCTGGTCAGGAAGGGGGGGGGGGGGGGGGGATTTTCAGGAGGGCAAGTGGTTAACTTTCAGATGGATTTTTTTTTTGTTTAACGACTTTCCTACCGCTTTAAATTCCCTGGTTAATCCAGGAACATGTCCGATCATCAGTATGGAGGGGGGGTTAAATTCTCTGGAGGGCAAGTAGTTAATTGAACAAGTTGAAGCTGATTGGCTGCCATGCACATCTGTAGCAGATTTTGCGCTCCAGTTTTAGTAAATTAACCCCAACGCACTGCACGTTATCACATTATGAGATATTCTTGTCTATAGGTGACCTGTAGGTAGAATGAATGTCTCCTAAACGTACGCAGCTTAGAAGATATTCTACGGAGCAGCAGCCGGTGACAATACCAGCACGCCCGTGCCGGTCCTTTGCCCCCGGTTCACACCTATGCGGGCTGCGTTTTGCGCGGGCACGAGAGCCCATTCATTTGAATGGACTCCCGTGCCCCGTGACACGCAGGGAAAGAAGTCCCTGCACTACTTTGGAAAACCTCGGTTCCCAGTACGGTTGCGTTTCCCAGTGCGGGCAGCGTGCCTTTAGAACTAATGGTACCCGCCCACGGGTCCGCAATTCTCTGTGCGGGTGGTGTGGCTGCACGGATTTTCGTGCGGATCCACCCGCATAGATGTGAACCGGGGGTCAGGGTTGTGTGCTGTGGCCGGAACTCCCGCCCACACAAAGACCGCGGTGTCGCTGAGAGCCCTGGGTCCTGTACTAACGATCGGGACCGGGAACTCCTGATTCCAGGTCATCTGATTGCTGTGAAAGCCTCTGATTGGCTATAACAGTGATAAGTCACTGTAAAGCCCGCCCCTATGTTTTCTTTCTTTCTAAATGGAGGCGAGAAGATACTGTATCTCTGTCCTTCTCCTTGCAGTGAGAAAAACAAAACTAAAAAAAGAAAATTAAATAAAGATACCTAGACCAAGGGTTGATCTGGGCCAGTGCCAGGTTAGTGTTTGGGTCAGGGTCAAAGGTCAGGACTTTTTTTTTTTTTTTTTTTTGTCGGTGTGTCTTGGGTAGGACAAAAAAAAAAAGAAGCAAAATGCACACTATTGTTTCTGGGCTGTACTACGGGTACAAACAACAAATAACATCCACATATGTGGTATCTCTGCGATCCTCAGGAGTTGTTCTTTGGTTGTAGGTTATGGTAGTGACAGGAAACGCACAGCTAAATCTAAAATATAAATAATATAAAAAAAATATATTTTTTTGACCAGTTTTCCTTTGTTAACCACTTGTCCTCCAGAGGATTTACCCCCCTTCCTGACCAGCCCATTTTGTGTGATACGGCACTGCAGTATTTTACTGACAATTGCGCGGTCATGCAATGCTGCAACCATATATTTATGTCCTTCCCCTAAACACCCCCCCCCCCCCACCAAATAGAACTTTCTTTCAGTGGTATTTGATCGCCTCTGCGTTCATTTATTTTTTTCAATATTTTTGTGCTATAAACAAAGAAAACAACAATTTTGAAAAAAAATTCACTATAGCCGGTCTCCCTGGACCCCGCGTTCGCTATATCCTGTCTCCTCGGACCCCGCGTTCGCTATATCCTGTCTCCTCGGACCCCGCGTTCGCTATATCCTGTCTCCTCGGACCCCGCGTTCGCTATATCCTGTCTCCTCGGACCCCGCGTTCGCTATATCCTGTCTCCTCGGACCCCCGCGTTCGCTATATCCTGTCTCCTCGGACCCCCGCGTTCGCTATATCCTGTCTCCTCGGACCCCCGCGTTCGCTATATCCTGTCTCCTCGGACCCCCGCGTTCGCTATATCCTGTCTCCTCGGACCCCCGCGTTCGCTATATCCTGTCTCCTCGGACCCCCGCGTTCGCTATATCCTGTCTCCTCGGACCCCGCGTTCGCTATATCCTGTCTCCTCGGACCCCCGCGTTCGCTATATCCGCTCTCCCCGGACCCCGCGTTCGCTATATCCGCTCTCCCCGGACCCCGCGTTCGCTATATCCGCTCTCCCCGGACCCCGCGTTCGCTATATCCGCTCTCCCCGGACCCCGCGTTCGCTATATCCGCTCTCCCCGGACCCCGCGTTCGCTATATCCGCTCTCCCCGGACCCCGCGTTCGCTATATCCGCTCTCCCCGGACCCCGCGTTCGCTATATCCGCTCTCCCCGGACCCCGCGTTCGCTATATCCGCTCTCCCCGGACCCCGCGTTCGCTATATCCGCTCTCCCCGGACCCCCGCGTTCGCTATATCCGCTCTCCCCGGACCCCGCGTTCGCTATAT